GTGTATAATTACTCTAAATAAAAAAAGTTGAAATTCAAAAGATTTTAGGCCTTAAAAAAAATCCTATGAAAACTTAAACTCAGTTAAAAATAAATTTGAGTAGTTTGGGATCATAAACCCAACCCATAACATTAAAAATATACTAAAATAAATTTTTTAGAAAAAAAAGAGAAAAACTAAGGGTTAAAAAAATAATTTTGACTAGTCAACCAAAACTTACCATTCATTTGTAACTATTCTCTCTCTCAGTAGTAAATTAAGGTCAGCCCTCTCACTCATTCTCTAGTAAATATAAATTAGCTTCTTTTTTTTTTTTGTGTTACGAATTTTTTTTTATTTTTATTATGAAAAAGAAACTAAAATATTTTTTTTATTAAACTAGAAAATTTAAAATTAGTAGATTATGATTGTTTAAAATTAAAATTGATAAAATATTCCCTAAAATCGACTACACAACAAAAATTAGACTACTTTTAATCTAAAAATAAAAATTTTTAAATAAAAATTATTAATATTAAAAATAAAAAACTTCATTTGTAATAGCCGTTTTAGTCATCAAATAGTCTTGGGCTCCTGTAGTAGAGGGGGGATGTGTTTGATTATATATAAAACCGTCAGCCCCATGTGTGCCTATGTTTTCTAAACAAACATGAGTTGGGATGGTGAACGCCATGAATCCCATGTTAGCATTCCAACCTATTGGGATTGGAATGAGTAGAAAATGCAAATTAATTAAGATTAACACATTATTTTTTTATAAAAAAAGTAAATTCAATAACATATCATTTTTCTTTTTTTATAGGGGAGGAGGGGACAGTGAAATTCGAATTTGTGATCTAATAGTCCAATGGCAAGCTGCCGCGGCCATTAAACCAACCAGTGATCCTCATATCAACACATGCCACCATCCAAACAAGACCTAAATGTTATACTTGGACATGTTGTGTGGAAGGCACTTGATATTAAGACAAATGTAATGTCGATTTTGGGTTTAGCCCAAAATTCAAAACCCAAACTAGCTTCTTTTGCAGGGTTGGAATTGGATTGAAAGGAAGGGGTGATTTAGAGACAAAGCCTTCGAAGAGGTAAAAAAAAAGGCCCAAACTAGCAAACAACTAAGCTACTTGGGTTTAGATGGTGGGTGACACTGTGATTCTTGGGGGTGGTGGTTGGAGAAGAGTAATGTTATTAATCTAATAAAGTGAGATTATATTATTTACTAAATACAATGTAGACTGTCTAATAGTATTTATATCAAAAAGGTCTATCTTTTCTGTAATACAATTGAACAATTTAGATTATTTTATGAGTAATGTTATTTAAAAATAATTTATTAACATAATATTTTAACTTAATGTGTCGATTCTATTGAATTGACAAAAGATCCTAATACTGGTGGAGGGCCCGTTTCTAATCAAAGAACTGTGATGCATTAGGTCGATAGCTTAAGTTAAAATAGAAATTATTATTATTAATATATTAGATGCAAATAGGATTATTCTTCCTATAACTAACCTACCAAAAATTGTCAAAAAAGAATAGACCAAGAGAACCCCGGCTGAAACTTACCACGTAGCATGCAACCCGGCCAAAGAGAAAGCTTAGAGCAACTCCAACGGGGCTATTCAAAATAATTAGTTAAAATATATTTAAATATTATATTATCTGTTTTAACTAACCACTTTTATAAATTCACTCCAACCGCGCTATCTATTGTAACTAACTATTTCAACTAATTTTAACTAATTTTTAATAATATAATTAAAAATTATATTTTAACAATAGTGTCCAATCTTTACTTTTGTGTTTGGTTGTCCACAAGTGGACAACAAAGCTTTCAACCAAAAACTTTCAACAAATCTTTCAAATTACAAATTACAAAAACTTTCAACAAAGCTTTCAACGAAAATTTCAAATTACTTCTACAAAAAGAGATAATTCGGGGTTTTTTGTCTGATTTTTGGTGCAATTTCAGTGAGGTTTTCGGTGGGAGTTTCTGTGGGTTTTGGTGGAGTTTTCAGAGAGAGAGGGATGAAAGCCAATTAGAGAAAGTTCACACCTGGGTCTTGGAAGAAGACACCACAGCCAGCCTCCCTCTATGATTGTGGATAAAGACGATGAGAGGGTTGTGGAATGAGAAAAATGGCGCAAAAAAAAAAAAAAAAAATACCTAGTTGTTGTTGCCTCGCCAGAAATAACCAGTGGAATGAGAGTTCCCTAGTTTGTTGGAGACAAATTTTAAGAAAGGGCTAACTAAAATAACTAAGAAGGAGCAAATACAGAGCTCCTTGGAGTTGCTCTTACACCTCTATAAGTTCTCACAAGCCCACAGGGTCTCTAATCTGAGGTCGCAATCTCAACCTAATATCCATTAATTCATTTATAAATAAATGGATTGAATAATAGAATTTATTTTAATTAAACGAGTTAAAATAGATTACAAGTGAGTACTTATTAAGTTGAATATTTATCTTTCTATTAAATAACACAAGTAATAAACTCAAATAAATATATTAAAAAATACACATATATACTAATATGTCAAATTATACACACGCATACACTACTACGCCAAAACACACACATACACACACTAGTACACCAAAAACACACACACTAATACACCCGACCCTCCCCAACCCCCGACCTTGACCCTGACCCTCTATGTGTGTATTTAGTATTTTATTAAATATGTTTATATTTTTTTTGTGTTAGTATATGTGTGTGCATTTTTGTCTATTAGTGTGCATTTTGGTATCTTAGTATGTGTTCATATTAAGAGTTTTAATTATTTTATAGGCTAATAGGTATAATATAACTAGTTATGATTCAACCCATTATAACCCGTTTATTAAGCAAGTTGAAAACGAATTAAATTTGTTTTGCACCCAACCTATCTTGAATCAGCCTATAACCAACTAACCTGCCCATTTACCACCTCTAGGTCTCTCACTCACCTAGGGGTGGCACAAGACTATATTTTAGGCCTAAAACGACTATTACAACTGAGGTTTTTATTTCAAATATTAATAATTTTTTAAGATTAAAAGTAGTATAATTTTTGTTGTGATAGTCAATCTTTGGGAAGATTGGACCAATTTTAATTTTAAACAATCATAATTTACTGATTTTAATTTTTCTAGTTTAATAAAAAAATATTTTAGTTTATTTTTTTTGCAATAGAAATAAAAAAAATTGTAACACAAAAAAAAAAAGAAAGAGAAATTGTATTTACTAGAGAGAGAGAGAATGGTTACAAATTAATAGTGCGTTTTAGTTGACTAGTTAAAATTATTTTTTAACCCTTAGCTTTTTCTTTTTCTTTTTCTTTTTTTTTTCCCTAAAAAATTTATTTTAATATATTTTTAATATTATGGGTTAGGTTCATATGTCCAAACTATTCAAATATTTTTTTTGATTGAATTTAAATTTTCATAAGATTTTTTTTAAGGGCTAAAGTCTTATGGATTTAAAAAAATTAATTTGGACTAACTACGCGCCTAAAAAATTTGGGACTTTCTTTTGATATGGGGCCTAAAGCCCACACTTAGTGATATGGCTGGCCTTGCACTCACCGACCACGAGTAAATGTTAGGTGTAACAATTACACTATTTAATTATTGTTCTGTAATCTAATTTTTCAATGATAACTCAATAAATAGAAAAATTGGATCCCATTTATTCAAAATAACTATGCATCCATGTAATATAGTAACCAACCCATGTGAAAAAAAGTGGGATATTTTGATCACTTATTTATTTACTAGTTGTTGCCTGTGCTTGAAGGTATAGAGTAATAAAAAATGGTAAACAATAAACATATTTGTATTCATATCCAAAATCAAATAATAAACATAAAGAAGAGATAAATGAATTTAAACATCGATTTATAGTGAGGGTGAGAGGTGGTGGGCGACAATGGTAGTGGTACGAGACAGTGATGGTTGTGGTGGGTGGCAATGAAGGCGGCGGTGGCATTGGTGGTGGCAGGGAGGGCAGCGACGACAATGGTGGTGGTGGCGATAGCAGCGACAGTGATGGTGGGAGTGGTGGTGGCGACAACGGTGGTGATAACAGCAGTGGCGGCCACGACGGTGGTGATGGCGATGACGATGGTGGTGGTGGTGATGGGGACAATGGTGGTGGCAGAGGCAGCGACAGTGGTGGCAGTGACGATAATGGTGGTGGTAGAGGTAGTGGTATGGTGGTATCAAACACTTTTTTTTAAAGTATTTATGAGAAATAATTTTTAAAATGTCACTCCAAAGTTCAAGCAAACCCTTAAGGGCCTATTTTTTCTATTAAACGGAGGGTGTTAAAATTAGCCGTTATATTAACTTTAAAGTAAAATTTAAAACGATCTTATCCGCGAATAACAAAAGTCATTTTATTTATCTTTTAAAATTTGAATTGTAAACTATTTTATTATATAGATTATTGAAAGGTTTATACTACATAATAATATTGACGTGATGTAATCGGTATATCCAATATTTACTCACACATACCACATTCCTCATTTTAGAGAAATATTGAATATAACAGTGATATCACATCATCATCGTTACATAGCAATAGTGATGTGGTGTCACTTTTATATCCAATATTTTGTCCTAAAGTAAATATTTTGTTCTCGTGTCAATAATATTACAACGTGTAATCGTTCAATGTTAAATAAATAAGTGAAGAAGGTGACCTCACTTTTTTTCACATGAATGATTAATATCTTGAGGTATAGTTATTTGAACGAATGAGATCTACTTTTCATATTTAGTGAATTATCATGGAAGGATTATACTACATCACAATATTAATAATATTGACGTGATATGTGATGCCCAATATTTGGTCCGCATTGTGAACTTTGGTCCCACCCCAATTCTCTCTCTCCTTTCATTACTCATCTCTCTCAATATCTTCCCTTTCTCTCTGGTTTATTTCTTTCGAGCAAGACTAAGTAGGGGACAGGATAGTTCAGAAAAAACGAAAGAAAGAGGAAGATGGCCCTGGCTGGCGATGGTGGGTCAAGGAGTGGTGGTACAGAGACGTGGAAGAGCGGAGGCTGGTGCCAGACGCTCAAGAAGGGGCCGTGGACGGCGGTGGAGGACTCGATCTTGATGGAATACGTGAAGCAGCATGGTGAAAGGAACTGGAATTCAGTTCAGAGAAATTCTGGGTTGATGAGGTGTGGGAAGAGTTGTAGGCTGAGATGGGTTAACCATCTGAGGCCTAATCTCAAGAGAGGTACATTTTCTGATGCAGAAGAGAGGCTCATCGTTGAGCTTCACGCTAAGTTCGGTAACAAATGGGCTCGCATGGCTGCTCAGGTTGTTTATCGTTATTTCTCTTTCTCTCTCCTTGTTCTACATTTTTTTTTTCAGATTTATTTGTGCTTTATATGGTAACGAGTTACAAATTTCAATGTTTTGATGATTTCATCTGTTTTATGGTGTTTTCATAACGACTCTCTCTCTCTCACACACACGAGCACACACTCATGTAACCAAACGTAGACTTTTATTCTCTATCTCTCTCTCTGTGTTGGGCACTGCATGCTCTTACTTTTGACCTACTGCTTTGTTTGTCTTGTTTCTTTTAGTCTCCTTGTCAGATTCATTTACTGTTGACCTGTGTATAGCTTCCTGGCAGAACAGACAATGAGATAAAAAATTTCTGGAACACGAGAGTGAAGAGACACCAGCGAGCTGGTTTGCCCATATACCCTCACGACATCCAACCAAAGGACCACCACCACTACCACCAGCGACGACAACCCAACCACCACCAAAGAGAACGCAACTCTGCATCATCTTCCCTTTCATCCCTTTTATCAGCACAATCTCAGCGCCAAAAGAAAACCTACAGTCCCACCCACCCCCTCTTCAATCCGACCAAGTCTTCATCTACTGCAAATCCTCTACACCACCACTGTAATTCTTTACCCAATTCGAATCACCAGTTCAAGCTCTTTCGTGACAACAATGGCGGTCTTGCTTTGGCACTCACATCCCCTACTTTGCCATTTCCTTCATCCTCTGCACCATTGTTTAACCCAGGCCTTTCGACTGAGGCGTTCAATTCTTTTAACTACAACAATAACGGTCTAGTGCACGAGAGTATCACCAATGAAGGGTCTAAAGAGTGTCAGATACACACAGTCTTATCCCCACATGTAGAGAGGCTGTTTCTGCATAAATACCACAACAATCTAAGGCCTAATATTGGAGCCTCATTTAACCCAAACATTAGTTCAGTCTCCAGAATGGGAATTGAGCTGCCTTCAATCCAATCACCTGTGCTAACTAGTACTGGGAGTGACTATTTGATGGCTACTTCAAATGAAGCTGATGAACATGAGATTGCATCAGAATTTTCACAAGGCAACTGTGGTTTGTTGGAAGATTTATTGCTGGAGTCTCAAGCTTTGACAAGCACCGAGATACCCAATAAAGAGAAATTTGCAGCAGAGAATGAAGCTAAATGGAAATATATATCTGAACATGGTATAATGGAGGATAAGACTGCCGCTTTGCATTTGGATTCAAGCTTTGTTCATTCATTCATTGGTAAGTTACTCATTATCTGGACATTACCTTTTGATGGAATCAATGACATTATATTTCAGGATAGAAATACCGAACCAATTCTTTTTATTTTATCATCGATTTTGATTTGATAGAAAAATAAGTTAAAGTGTCCTAATATATTATAAATGAACTTATTACTTATAGGTTTAAACTTTTAGATAAGTATGAGTTTCAGAAATATATATTGTGTTTTAGATTAATTGGCTCTCCAGTCCCCCACCTGGGCATATCAATTCATGTCGTGGCGTGTGAATTGTCGTTTTCGTATTAAAACCCACAAAAAAAAATTATTTAGTGTGTTTTAAGTATCAAATATTAGTCTAAATCATTTAATATGTGTATTTAATAATTGTGTCAATTTTAAAATTATGTCGTGTGGAGTTCGTATCAATGAGCCAAAGTTAGACACCCTTAAAGCCCAACTGATGAAACAATAAAACAAAAACCCAAAATTATTTCGTTATTTAGCTGATAAAAGAGTTGATTTAGATTAAAAACTTTGCAGTCCACTAGTGCAAAGTAAGCCATGCAGCAAAGATAATCTCTCCTGGAGACTTTAATTTTGACTTAGCTGGAAAGAATACCCAAATTAATTAGGGTGGCCCTCTCTACAGCTCGGCTCACTTTATAACAGTTAAAGTGCAGAATCCTATTTAAGTCTTGTGTCTTTTTTATTTTTAGAATTAATTAACATATTAATTATTCTTGTCTTTTTATTAGTACTCAATCCTTAATTTTAAGAACTACAACTACATTGATATTAATTACTATGTGGTTCATACATTTTATTACTAAAATATATAAATGTAGGGTTGTTCAAAATTCGCCCACACTCGACCCGTTCCGCATCTTTTTACCCAATTCTATTTGATTATTGGAATTCTGCAAAAATTTGGTTGGCCAATGGAAGAAATTTTAGTATTCAACAAAACCGTGAGTAGGAATGTAGAATACCAAAAAAAATTCTTTATTCCTACACAACCCACACATATATTTAAATTTTTTTAAAAAAATTATATATTTGATAGAAAATAATGTCATTTTATATGTTCATATTATTGGATTTATTGTGTTTTTTTTAGTGTTATTGGTTTATTGTGTTGGTTTACATGTTCTTTTATTATATTTTAATAAATTATTTATAAAAGTAGCCCAAAAATTTAGTAATTGAGTTGTTAAAATGATTTAAAAATTAATTACTTAAAAACTGAAAATATGGGAGATATTCCACATTCCTACCCAACTTCCGAGCCAACTTTTTAGATGAAATTCGGCTCAAAACATTATACTCGATCGGATAGGGTCAACCAAGAAATTGACCTTCCACAATTCGTCAACTTGGAAGCTGAAATACACTATTTCCTATCCGTTGGCTCAGACGAACAGCCCATAAATGTGTTTGGAATTTTTGGTGCAGCAGGGGTGAAAAGGAAGAAACCCCAATTGGAGGAGATGAATTATGTGGATGAATATTTATTGAACATGCTTGACAATTTTCCAATGACTGTGCCTGTACCAGATTGGGATGATAAGAGTCCAAGAATGTCGAATGAGGAGCCATGGAACATGGATGATGGCAACGTTGGGATCAACAATAACCGGGAAGTTCCACACTCTCCGGTTGCGACCGCCTCAGCAATGCCAGACCATGACTGGGCTCTAGGCTCCTGCTGCTGGAACAATTTGCCTAGCATATGCGAAGACCAGAGCTGAAACAGTTGCATTTGATTTGGACAGGCAGACGAAGAATTAATGGATTCTGTACTCATCTATTGATAATTATGCTGTCTTAGATCTAATTTTTGGATTTTCTCGTGCTACGTAGTTTATGTTTTGGACAAAAAATAGTGACAACATTTGCTGACTTCTAACATCACTGTCACTGATTTAATTGTGAGTCTCAACATTTATTAGGACCCGATGAAAGGAGTGAGCACATGTTGTCAATATTTTTTTGTCCAAAAACTAGCTGTTTGGTTAAACATTATGCAGTCTTAATATTCAGCGGTTTAGACTGTTTTGGTTTGAGAATGTGGTAATGTTAGTGTCATGTTTTGAGTTCTGATGATACCAAAGATACAATCTCCATGTAAGCTGGACGCACAATGTAGCAGAGGAACTAATAAGTTGAGGAAAAATCTCAATCTACTCGCTAACGAGTAGGTCGAGACAGACCTGCTCGTTTAGAGGTTGAACCCAGGCTAGCAATCTCCCAAGTGAGCTCGAAGCAAGTCGAACTACAAAGAAAAAAAAGGATACGAAGTAAGACCTCATTACCAAATTCAATCCCTGGACGAAGTCACCAACACCATGTCACCCGCTTCTAGAAGGTCATATCATGCCTAAGGGAATGTAGATTTAGTCGTTAGAGACTACATTCCCCCCAATATCCTTACAAACTAGAAGACCACACCATTGTTGTTTGAGGACCGCTCTATTAACTAGCATAAATAGGCAAACTCTTGCCTTGTAATGAAGAATGAACATCTGTACACTAAAAAATTGTAACCATCTTCTCTCCCATCAAGCATTAATAATTGTACGAATAAGAGACTCCATTAAAGTGGATTAAACAAATTTTTCGGTCGATAAACCCCTGATCCTCGTGCCATTATTAATTTCTCTGATTACTTTACTCATTCATATCCTATAACTCGCAAAACCTACGTATTCATTTTAGTGGAGGGCTCTTCAGCCTCCCTCTTCCATTCACCAGCACCGTCAAGTTCAGTTGTTTCAAGGAAACACTTTCAAATTGCTGAACTTGGCAGCAAAGCCTATTGGAATTACTCTAATATTATTACAATAAGAAAATCGTTTTGATATGATTTTATTGGAATTAAGAGGACTATCATACAAATATAATAGAAGTATCGTTTTAACAGGTTTGTGTCAAAAAATACTTTATCCATACTTGATATATTTATTAATTCATATATAATAAATAAGTTATGTCATATCGAATTCGTGTTGCGTTAACGAGTCGTGTCATATTTTAACACTCCTAATAAAAAGTTAATTTAATCATATATTCTTGGGCAAATGTATAATTTGGATTGCATGTATATCCATATTTGAATCTTTGAAACATGATATAACATATTCATATACGAATTCACATTTGAAATGTCGATTTAAGATACAATCCATACTCGACTAATAGGAATCGGATTTAACGACGGGGTTGACCATGGGCCAGACATGTGGATAGATTGGACCAACTACAAAGACTCCTAATCGTGTGTGAATTGAGTCTTGACAACAGGATTTGTTGTTTCTGGTATCTAAATAATGTAAAATTATTTATTGAAATTTTTTATTTGAACTTTGTAAAGAGTTACACAGAAACGAGTTACTCTAACGAATAGTAACAGTAAATAGTTACATAGAAACGAAAGAATTACACGTAACTTTTTGTCAAATTAATATAAATATTAATTCGGTTGCAGAAGAGGAACTGTTATTGAAGTTGATGTAGATTAACACTAGTGTTTGACACTATGTCCTTAAGATAGATTTTGCCCATACACACGGTGCTTATGAAATACGAGTGTTTGCCTCCTAGGATACAATGATATTTACATGAGCAGAAGTAGCACTTCAATCTACTCGTCCAGCGAACCAAAATTTGTGTTGTGTACTCTCTAAGACACTGCCTTAATGCCGATCTGCAGATTATAATGCACTAATGTTTGCCTTAATGTTGAAAATAGATTGAACAAATGAATTGATGCAATAAGGCAAACATTAAGGCAATTAGTATGCAAATAATAATGCTGACATACTATAGAGAGTACATTTTTGAAAAAGATCGTGTATCGAGATAGGTAGCTTTTGACTCTGAACCTTCCCTAGTGAAAGTCTATCGAACTTACTGGCTAAATAGTGAACGTGATGTCTTAAATTATTCAACTGTTTGATAAATCAGATTGAATAGAATTCACACAATCTTTTTCCTAACACAATTGATTCTCATGATTGTTAACCCTGAACAACTCTTAGTTTTCATAAGTGCTTTAGAGAATTCAGCTTTTATAATTCTCATAGAAGCAGCTCATTCACACTCATATAGGTGACTCCTATTAAAAATATCCTGTAATATTCCACTTGAATTTTTCAAGATATAAGAGTCATTAAAAGCATAACTTATCCTAATAAACTCTGCAGACAACACTAATTTATCCTAGGAAGAAATATGAGAGATTATCTCTATAATGCTTCTTTTGAATCACACATAATTTGGTTGTTCCTTTGAACCTAGATCTTAGGATATCCAGTCAACTAGGTTGGGTTGCCATTAAGGTGACTCTTATGTCATAGGTTTTAAACTCATTCCCCTCGATGTATAATTTATTTGTTCTCTCATCAAACTTTTAGTAAGCGGATCCGCTAGATTATCGTTTGAATTTATATAAATCAATAGAAATAATTCAATTTGAGAGCAATTGTCTAACGGTATTATGTCTACGATGTATATGTCTAGACTTACCATTATAAATGTCACTTTGTGCCCTACCTATTGCAAATTGACTATCGCAATGTATACAAATTGTTGGCACAGGTTTTGGCTATAGTGGAATATCCTCTAGAAATTGGTGAAACCACTCAGCTTTCTCTCATGTTTTATCTAAAGCAATAAATTCATATTTCATTGTGAATCTGACAATACATGTTTGCTTAGAGGATTTTCAAGATACAGCTACACCACCAAGTATAAAAATATAACCACTTATGAATTTTGTATCCTTCATATCAGATATCCAATTTGCATCACTATACCTTTCAAGTACAGCTGGATATCTTGTATAGTGCAATCCAAAATTTAGGATATATTTTAAGTATCTAAGAACCCTGATAATTACCTTCCAATAGTCTACTCCCAGATTACTCATATATCTACTCAATTTACTAACTAAATATGCTATATCTGATCTAGTGCAATTCATGACATACATTAGACTGTCAATGATGCGAGAGTATTCCAATTGTGATATATTTTGTCCAGTCCTTTTAGAAAAATGAAGATATTTATCAACTGGTATTCTAGCAATGTTATTTTCATCTTTGTCGAACTTCTTAAGTATTTTATCAATATAATGTGATTGAGATAATATAAGTCCATCAGATGTTCGAGAAATTTTAATTTCTAGTATAATATCTGCAACACCCAAATCCTTCATGTCAAATTTACTAGACAACATTTTCTTGATAGTTATAATAATATTATTATTACTACATAAAATAAGCATATTATCTACATATAGGCAAATAATGACATATTTATTATTTGTGTCTTTGACATAGACATATTTGTCACATTCATTAATTGTGAGACTATTTGACATTATTACCTTGTAAAACTTCTCATGCCATTGTTTTGGTGCTCGCTTTAAACCATAAAGTAATTTAACAAGTCTACACACATTCTTCTCTTGTCCTAGAGAAATGAACCATTCGGGTTGATCTATATAAATTTTCTCATTTAAGTCACCATTTAGAAAAACTATTTTCACATCATTTTTGTGTATCTCAAGATTATACAACACTGCAATAGCTATGAGCATATGAATAAATGTTATTCTCGTAACGGGAGAATATGTATCAAAGTAATCAAAACATTCCTTTTGTTTGTAACCTTTAACTACAAGTCTAGCCTTGTACTTATCAATTGATCAATCAGTTTTCATTTTCCTCTTAAAAATTCATTTACACCCCAATGGTTTACTCCCTGGAGGAAGATCTACCAACTCCCAGGTGTGATTTTGCATAATGGATTCAATTTTACTATTTACAACTTCTTTCCATATATGTGCTTTAGGAGTGAACATTGTTTCATTGAAGCTTTGAAGCTCATTTTCTAGCAAACATGTTGGAAAATCTAGACTATAGGCCTTGGAAGTCCTTGTCCTCTTACTACGTCTAAGAGCCTCTTCACTTTCATTATTTATAAACCATGGTTTATATTACTAGTCACAGTATCATGAGTTCTTTTAAGAGAACTCTCATCACATGCATTTTTACTAGGAAAGACATTTTTAAAAAATGATGCATTTCTTAACTCCATGATTGTATTAACATGTATATCAGAAATTTTAGATTTATGCACGAGTAAACGATATGTACTACTATTTATTGCATAACCAATAAATATATAATCAATAGTCTTAGGTCATATTTTAATCTTTTTGAGAATACGAACCATTCTTAGCCAAATACTCCCACACTTTTAAATATTTGTAGGAAGAACTTCGACCTTTCCATAATTCATAAGGGGTTTTGTCTAACTTCTTGTGGGGTAGTCTATTTAAAATATAATTTGCTAAAAGTAAAGCTTCCCCCCACAAGTTCTGAGGTAATCCCGATCTAATCAACATGACATTTATCATTTCTTTCAATATTCTATTTTTACGTTCAACAATCTCATTTTGCTAAGGTGTATAAGGCGCAGAAGTTTGGTGAATAATACCATGTTCTTGACAGAACCTATCGAAAAATGTGTTATATTCACCACCTCGATCACTTCTTATTGACTTAATCTTTTTGTCAAGTTGATTATCAACCTCATTCTTATAGTGCATAAAGTTTTTTAATGCTTCGTCTTTACTCCTTAGCAAATATACATAGCAATATCTTGTGCAATCATCAATAAAAGTAACAAAGTACTTATTTTACCTCTACTTTGAACATATTTTAAATCACATGTATCACTATGA